TATATGTTATTTTTTCATTATGCAAACTGTAGTAGATAATTACGTTATGAATGTAGTCAACTATGCTTGTTTAAATAAATAACTATTACAACACCATTTTCAAGTAGTGAACTATATCATGAAATTAGTAGAGTAGTCAATTGTGCTATAAAAATAGTCAACTATATTTTTAAATTAATAACTATTTTTTGGAAAAAGTTAACTATATTTTAAATTGGTAACTATTTGAATAGTTAACTAACGTTTACATAGTTAATTATATATTGTTATATAGCGAACTATATTTTTATTGATCTATTGTTTATATAGTGAATTATATTCNTATATCAATATATTTAAATATCATTATATATATAGTGAACTATATTTTAATTTAAATAGCTAACTAACATTTACATAGTAAAATAATTATCATTATATAGTGAACTATATTTTTATAATGTAGTGTGTATATAGTGAATTATATCTTTATTTAATTATTATTTTTACGTTTATCCATGTTTATGTAAATTTAGAAACCAGTGAATAACCAAATATTTGGAGAAAAATTGTGAAATTTCCAAATCATATATTACAAATCCGTAAAACATATATACGCTAACTTAAAAAAAAAGTAACTTTCCTTAATAACCTTTGATTTGTTGAAACAAATGATGACAATTTTTGTATTTATTGATTTTCTACACAATTACTAATGACAACTTTTGCATTGCATACTACAATTAATTCAAGAGAAATTATGTCAAAAATAACATCATTTAATAAAGAAATAACAAAAAATCATTTACCCCATATTAATCCAGAAAGCATATATCAAATCGGAACTTTTGATTTTAAAACTGCTTATTCAATAAAAGAGCATGAATAAACACTATCTCTTCCAAAATTAAACTATTATCTTCACTTGCTTTAGATAAATATAAACAAAAAGGATTTAATTATCTTCATTTTGGACTTATTCAAATAGCAATTAAACCTTTATCAAGAACATGTATTGATTCTACAATATTAATGCTATTAAGAGATAAAACCCTACTAAATTTTGAGGATTTGCTTCTTGGAGCAGTCCATTCTAATTTATGTAATGGAGCAATTTATTTAATTTGATCTCTTAATTATAAAGTAAGCCTACATGATCCAACAATACTTAACACTTTAGTAGTAAATGTTCATTTACCGTAAATTTAATTTCAAAATGAACGACATAGATATTTATTACTCTACCAAATTTATTTTAAACAATCAATTTCTGAATTTAAGCCGGATTTCCTTGCAACATATGATTGGGTCCGTGAGGGTCCAAAAAAAAAATCGAGATCTCAACATCATTTCTACAAAAAAAAAGAATATTCCAGATATATATTTTCTTATATATACAAATAAACTTATCTATTTTTAAATTTTTTTAATATTTATCATTAAAAACAATACATTGTACATCATATAAAACAGCAAAATATAATAGTTTTTAGTTTAATCATCACGAAACATATTAGACTTTGCTTTAATAGTTCTATCAGTTTTGTAATTATTTAAAGTTTGACATACCTCTCTATAGATAAAAAAAAGTTCAACACCAAATATGGTGTAACACCATTTTGGTGTTGAAAATGGTGGTGGTTTGTAAAAGATTTGACACCAAAATGAGTTTTGGTGGTGTAAGATTTGATGTTGGATTGGAGATGCCCTAAATGATCCATAAACAAACCAACTGAAACGAGTTAAGTTTCAACGAACTAGTGAGATTACTGAAGTCCGGCTTTTTATTTTTATAAGCATGCTTGCTAAAGATGAAGAGTTTGTTGTACTCAGGGTTTGATGCCGCTAAAGAGTTTTCAAAGTTACTAAAAGGAGAAACCGGCGGCCATTTGTTGCGTTTATATTTCAACAGCTCACCAGACCTTCCTGTTGAGCTTCTAGAGGCATGGAAGCTTCGACGTGGACTATCGTGTATATTCCCGCTTATCAAGATGATTTTGAACCATCCTGAGGGAATAAGTAGATCAACTGAGATTGGAAGAGCTATTGACGAGTTTTGTGGGTTATTAGAGAAAAACTCGATGACATTTGCACAGTATTGAACAGCAATGAGGGAAAACAAAAGAATGCCGCACTTTCACTTTTGGCTTCGATGGTTAGACGCGGTCCTCACATGGCATCTGAGATAGCTAATAAGTTTCATTTTAAGGATTTCGCGAAACTAGGCGAGTATAAAAAGCGAGGAATGACTAGGAGGAGATTTGTTGCGGTTGCAATATCGTTCCTTGAAGTTGGGAAGCCTGGATTTCTAAGGTCTATTTTAAAGCAGAAAGAAATGTATTCCATAGTCCTACAAGGCCTTGGTAATGATGATTTGAAGGATAAGATCCTTGTTCTTGATCAATCAAAGGTTTCTCGTGGTCTAAGAAGAGCACTTTTTGGAGACGCTAGAGCAGCTGGCCAGCATTACAGCAAGAGAGGATGATGGGATTGTGAATGAGTTGGCCCATGATGTTCTTCACAGTTTGTGCGGACCCCTCTAATGGTTTGATGCCAGATGCAAAAAGAAAACTAAGTGGCGCTTCGGGAAGATTACTGAAGCTCATGAAGAGGTTGAGAACAATAGATAGTTGCTATCACTCTGATTTGCTTCTAGCCATTGTTAGGGCTAGACCGTCTTTTGCTTCAGCTTTTTTGGCCGAATTCCCATACAATGTTGAAGATATTGCATCACCATCCTGGTTAGTCTGTCTTGCTTACTCAGAGTACCATCAACTTTTGTTGTTTATTCATTCTTTCTCTATTGCAGGTCTTCCTCTATTTCCTTGGCAGCAAATTTGGTATCCTCGGTAAGAATTACATGTTCTTTTGACTTTATCAATCCAGATCAACGCGCTACACCTCCATCTGCTGGTTCAGATGTTTAGACCATATGCCCCCGACCATTTAGCCGGTCATTGATCACTAAAGGGATGCTACATTCTGATTCTCTTGTGAAAGGTGGGACCTTGAGATTTCTCTCGGAGGCGCTGAGGCTGTGGGATTCTTTCGTTACTGCTTGGAAACATTGCTCGCCTCATAGCTGCTCTGGTGAGCAAATTCAGGCTTCTCTTGAGCGGGATGTCATGGGTGAGGCGAGAAGCTTTTTTGACACATCCAGACCCCGATCACTTTGAGCTCTAGGTCTCGTGCCCTAACTTGCTCAACAAGTAACATACCTGCACACACTAAAAGGGGAAAAAGAGGGATGAGCAATTCCGGGAAGAAATTACTCAGTGAGATTGCTACCCACAACAACTCTAATACTTGAAAACAATAAGCAATCAAACACATTAACCTAGAAATAGAACATGCATCACCCAACTTATTACTAGCAACATAACATTCATACCTAGCATTTCTACACCATAA